TGCACGTTGCTGTGTTAAAAGAACGACATGAAATGGTGGAGTTCATAGCAACGGAATTTCCTCAAGCGATTAACTTGCCCGACCAGGTGGGCCACTCATAGGCGTCTGCTCACTGCCCAGCCTTATAAGCTCAATATTGCATATTTCGTACATTTTAGGCTGGCAGAGCTCCCATTCACTATGCTGCCGCTCAACCAAATGCTATCTATGACACTCTGATAGACTTGGGCGCCGATCCACGTATCACCGACACGGTCAGTTTGCCCAGGGTTCCGTCCCCAAGATGGAAATAGAAATTGTTTAAGCAGCTTAGCCGTACGTGCTTAAGATATATTACGCATGAAGAAAATCGTCTTAGCAGTTCTTGCAACACGCAAACAGCCGTAGGCGATTCCATGACTCCCGTCATCAAAAATATTCATTTAGCCTCCTCATTCATTGCTCCATCATTTCGTTCTACTGAAAATTTCCTTATTAAATAAGTGAGTGTCAATTGCATTTTAAGATATCAGGTTTCTTGAAGACGTTATAATTTTCATCTACAAAACATAATCAAACCTTCAAAAATAGTCCAAAATGAGCTACAGAGGGGCAATAAATTGACTGCAACTTCCTTCGAGAAGATTCATCTCTTCCAATTTCTTTAATCAAAGTAAACCTAGAATCAAAGAGCTCCAATTTTGGATAGAGAAGGCACGTTAATACAGTGAAACAGCGAAATCTTATTGAAGATTACATTTGTAGTAATTGCGGAAGTTAATTAATAAATTCAAATTAAGTTTTATGTTATCTCGATTTCAAATCAAGTCCCTATACTATGCTAACTTTAACAGCTCCTCAGCCAATATTCATGTCAACTCATGTCACTATAGTATGCTGACTTTAACAGCTTACTCAGCCAATATTCATTCTGAACACGTTATTTCTATTGCAGTATAAATTGTGTAGCAGTGAGGACTTTCACTACTACAGAATCTTACAATGTTTGTGTATACGTACAACGCAAAAAAAAA